TAATCATCAATCCTATATCTTCGTATCACGCCTTAACTATAACAATTTTTTAATACTTATTAAATGTAGTATGATGTGCGAACTCTCCACACTCCATATTGGCCTTCTCAGCCCCCCTTCGCCTTTGTGCTTGGAATATTGATCAGAGTCTGAGTCCTTCCCTAGGTCTTATCAGTCTACCTCTTCCCCCATAGGACCCGTCTGCTATCTTGCTGGTTCAAGTATTTCACTCGACTCCTGCCACCACATCTGTGTTATTCGAGGCATTATTTCTCACACTCTGCGTCTGGGAGACTAACTTGGAAAAGAAATGCAGGGAGACCAGAAGGGAATAATCAGAAGCAAATAGATCTTTTCAGTGAGCCCAATCAAAATAAGAAAAACCACAGCATTCGTGGGTTGCCCTCAAGAGCATAGGAAGTCATAGACTTGGTATTACGGATAGAAACAGGATAGAGGCGGCGGAGATTAGAGCTAGTTGACTGACAGTAGGCCTGTTTTACCATTGACGTGGTCCATGAAGCAAAGGCTTGATCATGACAATTACTATGGGGCTTTAGTCTCAAGTTAGTGTCCCAGAGCAGAATGTGGGAAATAACGCCTCGAGTAGTACAGATAGGGTGGCAGGGGTCGAGTGAAATACTTAAACCAGGGAGATAGCAGACGGATCCTATGGAGGAAGAGGGAGACTCTGGTAAGACATAGAGAAGGAGGATTACGTAACAATAAAATGGCGACTCTGATCTACATACCCGGCACAAGGGAGAAGGGGGGTGAGAAAGCAACAGGGAGTGTAGAGAGTTCTCATAAAATCCGCTCAAAATGACACAACATACCATATTAAAATAAGCAAGTAAAAAATTGTGATAGTGAAAACGTGATAAGAGGATATTGGATTGTTGATTAGCTCAGAGGGGAAGGAAAGATACCACGATTGTTTAGCAGACAATTGGTCAAAGGATCGGCTTCACTTGTCTCCTTGACGAGTTGCAGTGTGATGCTAAAAATGGCAAGATTTACTGACGATGTCGACTACGATGCCAGAGAAACGTCTTGGAATGTACCACATCCACTGTCCGACTCTGAAAATAATCATGCATGCAATGGACTCCGAACTAGGTGAGTTCCTCTAAGTCTTCCTACCAATATTTGCCGGCTGTGAAAACAAGGTCAAACAACTTCTATATTATATAAAGTTTGCCCTGATCGTAGTCGACATATTTAAGAATGACTTGCTTAGAGAACGAAATTTTTTGGTAGAAAAATTATATGGCAACAAAAGATCAGCCCTTTGTACTTGATTGGAGCTATAAAACGCTAGTATGAAAGAAAAGACCAGACCTTGAAAATTCATTTTAGAGAGTTTAATTTCGAGAATAATTTTTCCTTAGAACAAGAGCTAATCTCAAGAATAAATTCTTGCTGCTTATTAAAAATATTGTTGATCCTTAACTAGTTTTACATTAATATGTTTATAATTAAAAAGTGGAAGCTAAATCGATTGACTAGACAATTAGCACAGAAAATAGTTAGCTAAAAGACTACTGGGGTTTACATAAATGAGCTAAATCAAATTCTAGAATTATCTTACCCTTACTGTCACAAGGAATAGATGAAGTCGATGGTGAGGAGGATTTACATGGAGAGACTGTCGTAATGCTCATAGTTTCTACTGCCGTTTCCCGGGCTGTCAGGCAAGAGAAAACATTTGTAGTTGCAATATTTTCAGAACTAAGTGAGTCAGAATTTGCTAGATTTTCAATGGGAGGAAGAGGAGCACGTCTTTTTTTAGGAATTCTAGTAAAAGCTGAAAACTGGTAATATTGTGCCTCAGCATAATCATGTTTTAGGTTTTCCTGATGAGCAATGAGGCAGTCAGGATGCGAGTTTGAGGTATGATGCAGCCCAATTTGGTTCGAAGAGGTCCGGCAAGACATTTGGCACTGAAGCAACGAGGTGAAAAAAGCTAGTCACATAATTTATTTTAAAATAGGATCATTTATGTTTAAGTATAAATAAATAAAACGAATGAAAAAGCTCTTAAGCAGAACTAGCACTCATAATTGTAGGCCTCATAGTGATGGCAATAAGTAAATTGGAGATATAAACGTGTGCCAACTTAAGGAGTGGAAATTAGATATCCCATCAATAGGATGAATATCCCTCAACAAGTTCAATAAGTGTCTCCCCTGGGACGGACTGTAGTCTCTCCAGCCTTATAAACAAATCGAAATTATGACTCAAATTATTATTCATTTACTGAATCTCGAAAAAATATCCACAAAAATATAAACAATGAAATAGATTTTAATTGAAAAATACAAGATTGACTTATTGACAATCCTACTTGAAAGTCGCATATGTCCTGTGAATAAGATTAATTAAACGATGAAATGGAGAAATGAAAGGTATATAAAAGACCAAATTTAAATAGATATCGAAGTTATGAAGACCAAAATAGTGTGGCCTTTTGTATGGTCGCAGTCTCCTTTCGTTGTATAGAGGTTGTTTGACCTTATTTTCGCAAGTTGATCATATTGGTAGAAAGATTTAGAGGAACGCATCTAGTCCGGAGTCCGTTGAATGCATGATCATTTCCAAAGTCGGACCATGGACATGGTACATTTCTAGACGTTTCGCCGGCATCGTCAGTGAGTCTTGACATTCTTTTCAGCACACAACAACTCGTCAAAAGAGACAAGTAAAACCGATCCTTTAAACTACTGTCAGTCAACTAGCTCCAGTCTCCGTCACATCTATCCTGTCTATCCATAATACCAAGTCTATGATTTACTATACCTAGTCCGACTTAGAATACTTTTGTGTGTCAAACCAAAAGCGTTGTGGTTCAACATTGAACCTAATCAAAGCAGTACTACAGCATTTGTAGGTTAACACACAAGATACTAATGGATAGCAAGTCATAGATTTAGTATTGGGGATAGAGACAGGATAGACACGGCGGAGACTGGAGCTAGTTGGCTGACAGTAGGTCTGTTGTATAATAGACATGGTCCATGTAGCAAAGGCTTGACGATGAGCCTTACTCAAAGGCTTGAGCCTTGAATTAGTCTCCCA